CTTACGACCACTTTGTTCAGTAACGGATGGTATAAAATGTCAGGGTACAGCCCTCGTACGGATCCCGAGCTACATTAGCAAACGACTACTGCGAAGATGTTGTCGGCTGGGGAGTACAGATTATGGTATGGTGAGGATCTGCAAGGCAACACCGAAGAGAACAATGGTGGTACCATGTGCGCTACAGTTCAGATTATCGGTGGTGCGACGCCGATCCCGACGCCGAACCCGACGCTTGCAGCCCCTTCCGCCACTGGGGACCCACACCTTCAAAACGTGTTCGGCGAGCGGTTCGATGTGATGAGGCCGGGCAGACATGTTCTGATAAGCATTCCTCGTGGAACGAGCGCTGAAGGCGCAATGCTTCGAGTGTAGGCCGATGCGCTCCAAGTGGGCGAACATTGTGCGGACATGTATTTCCACGAACTGAACATCACAGGGGAGTGGGTGGATGCGAAAGGGGGTGGCGGTCTTCGTTTCCAAGCTAAGGGTGTACATGATGAACAGCCGAAGTGGTTGAAGTTTGGGAAGGTGGAGGTGAAAATTGTCCATGGGCGCACTCAGAAAGGGGTACATTATCTGAACTTTTATGTCAAGCACCTGGGGCTTTCTGGATTTGCTGTCGGAGGGTTGCTAGGAGAAGACGACCACACGGAGGCAGCGGTGCCTACGGAAGCATGTCTTCGCCACGTTTCTCTTTCTCGAGATCGCAGAGAGAATGGGCATACATATCACGCAGCATCCGGTTTCTCAGATGCACAGGCAACTTTCGCTTGATGACGGGTGCAACAGGGTGGTGGCGATTAGCATTGAGGTTCTTCAGCGGTCTTCAGCGGGTCAGTCGTTTATTCAAGACGCTTCGCGTTCACCGCCCTCCCATCTCAGTTCTCGCCGGAAGAGACGCAGACGGTGTCGACATTGGTGACAGGATTCGGAAAATAACGACGGACTCCCCCACGTGTGTGTTTTCTTTTTTCTTGCGCTTCATTCCTCGTCCATCCCATCGCCGATGGGGCTTCGGTGTGCCGTGTGGCTGACCGATGTTGAATTCGTGGATGAGACGTCAGTCCGTCATCGTAACTAACACGGATCAGTGGTATGGACGCTGGCTCTTTAGAACCCGTGCTCGTTTATCCAGCAGGAGGCCAGAGATAGCCAGAACGCTGCCCGAGGCCAGCCATGGACGGCCCGAAAGCGGACCAAAAGGCGCCCACGAGGGCCGAGGAGGGCCCCGAGAAGGGCCCAAGAGGGGGCCTAGAAGGGCACGTGGCGGCCAGCGGGAGCTTCTGGACGGCCCGCGCGAGAGCACTTCCGCGTTGGGCCGCAGCCCCGTCCGCACGCCATCAAACCTTTGGCCTGTTCGGGGCCAGTTTGGGCCCCGCTTTGGGCCCCAAGTTCGGCCCAGCATCGTCCAACATCGACCCCAGAGCGCAACCAAAAACGTAGTCGAAAAATTTGCATGGGGAGAGATACCCCGGACGAGCCCGAAAGTTAGTTGACAGACGCACCTGGGCGACCCCCGACGAGGCTAAAATCACCAAACACATGGTTTGTGTCATATCTGTTTGAGTTTCGAGTCCATAGGCGAAGTTGGTCCCAAGAGGTGCTCCTGAGGGCCAGAGGGGCAGATTCTGGAGGCCAAGAAGGGGCCAGAGAGGGTGGACGGTCTGCAATTCGAGTTCGTCTTGGACGCCGTCTGGAAGGCGTTCTGGGGGGCCTGGACAGGGGCATTGGTGCAGCCGGGCGGCGGAATGGCGGAGGCTTCTGCGGGGGGTTAGAGGGGGGGGGGGGGGGGAAACCTTGCGACTTCACGCTCACACGCCCCTCAGCCCAGCGGGCGGGCGGATTCAAGAGGCGCGTGCGCCACTCCGCCGACCCCGGGAGAGGGATGAGGTCCACGGGGGAGGCCGTTTGGGAGCCCTCTGGGGAGCGTCTGGGGTCTGGGGGCCTCTTTGGGGACTCCTGGGGGCGTCTTCGGGCCTCGTTTCTTGGGCGCCGGCCGGCGGTCTCGGTGGTCCTGGGGCGGAGGGCTCGAAACGTCCGTTCGAGTTGCCTCTCGTGGGCCCCTCTTGGGGCCCTGTTGCGGCTCTCTTGGTCCATTTTGGGCACCTCGTGGGCCGTCTCGGGACCCTCTTCGGCCGTCTCGTAGCCCTCCTGGGGACTTCTCGAGCCATGTTGGAGCGATCTTGGAGGCTTCTTGAGTGTATTTTGACGATTTTTACTTCCTGGGGCCCTCTCGGGGGTCGTCTTGGAGCCCTCTTGTGGCGTTTTTGAGGCCCCATGGGCAGTCTTCTAGGCCATCGTGGTCATCGTTGATGATTCATCGGCGTGTTAGAGCCCAGCTCGAGCTAGCTTAGATGGCATCTTGGGCATCCTGGAGGCCACGGAGTGTAAGATTTGGAGGCTCGGGAGGCCCCTTGGGGTGCGTTGACGAGCTCGCCCCCCCAAACCCCCCAACCCCTCGGAGCGCCCCCCGGGGACCCTCCCCTCGAATCGGATTTCAGACCCCAGGGGAGGGGCGAAGGGCGGAGGGGGACAGCCGATCATCTCACACGCGGGGCACCCCCGGCAGGTGGGGTCGGCGGATTTCCCTTCGTTCTTACCCCGTCAGCAGCAGAGATCCTGCAGCTCGCCCGTCCGTCTGCATGCGCGCCAGGGCGCGCCAGGCTGACAGGCTGAGTTGTCTGCGGCGCACGCCCCAGCTCGTTCTCTTGTTGGCGTCTTCAGTCAGGTCTTGGTCGCTCTCTCTCTCTCTCTCTCTTTCTCTCTCTCTCTCTCTCTCTCTCTCCCCTCCCCCCCTCTCTTGCTTCAGGCAGCTCTCGGCCTCCCCTCTGCCGGCTGGGGCGCGACGGCCGCTTCAGCAGCGCCGCTCCTTGGCGTGGTTCGCCAGCCGGCTGCCTCTCTAGCGTGCAGGCCCGTGACGGGTTCAAGCCCCCCGGAGCCCGCGTCGATGTTCTGGCACTTTTGTGGATGCACTTCCTCCTCCGCCTCCTCCTCGGCTTCCACCTCTTCTCTGAGGGACACTTGGGGACGTGGTCATGTGCATGGGGGGCCAGCCAGCTAGCCAAATGTCATGTCCGAGGCGGGTTGTTATCCATGGCCGCCGCCTGGGGGGCCGCTCTCTGGTGCAGCGAATATCTATCATATACCGCCTGCTGAGGTCCTCGGACGTGAGCCCCCCAGGCGGTGGCTATGGGACACATTCCCCGCCTCGCAGCATGACCCCTCTCCCTGACTCATCCTCGCCCGCCTCCTCCCCCACGGCGCATTCCGACCCCGCCCGGCACGAACATTTCGAGGTCCCCCACCAGGACCGGGTCGATGCAAGCCCTTTTGGTGCGCGAGGAGCCCCTCTCGAGTCCACCCGATCCGGCGCGGCGTCGGGTCCGATGCCTGCCGATGCGCTCCGGTCTCGTGCCGACCCAGCTCCGACCCGACCGCGGCTTTGTGGCTCGAGGGGGTGGGGGGGCAGGGGCGCTGAGGGGGCAGACGGTGAGGGAGAGGGCAGGGTCGAGCGGGCGCAGGCCGCCGCGCGCGCCTGCGGCTTGCTCGCAAGCCTCCGGGGCGGCCGCCGCCCCATCGAATCGGCGGCCCCCCGGGCGGCGCGGCGGCCTTCGTTCTGGTCGTCGTCCTCGTCCGCGCCGTCCTCGCGTCCCTTCCCCACACGTCCTCGCATCGTAAAGATGCCCTGGGGGAAGGGTCGGGACTTCTGGGGACTGCGTAAACATCGGGGCCACGAATCTGTCCACTATACGACGTATGAGTGGCAAATGGCGGCCCAAACACACATTGCATGTATGTTGTTCCACGCCTGTCGCTTCGAGAAGCGGCCAGAAAATCAGACTGCACGGTGCCCCGTGGCGTCTCTGCGAAGGCAGTGGGACAGGGCCCAATTGCCTCAAATGTGATGCCCCGCCCGCCCACGTCATTGCCGCCCGACCGCCCTACCCGCCTCACGTGCCGCCCGCCCGTTTTAATGGCCCGCCCGCCCGATCTGGCCGACGCTTTTAATGTCACTTCCGCGTCGTCGTTGTTGGTTGCCTGTTCTTAGTCGTCGTCGTCGTCGTCGTCGTCGTCTTCGCAGTCAGCGTCGTCGTCCTCGCCACCGTCGTCGCCATCATTGTGGTTCGTCGTCGCCTGCTAGTGCGCAAAGGGAGGGACAGCAGGGAGAGCTAGGTCCCTGCACACTTTCGGAGAGGGGTGCGGTTAGTTTTCGCCGGGGGGAGTAGGGCGGGGAGGGGGGCAACGGTTACGAAAGAGGGGTGGGATTTTTGTTGGGTGGGTTTGGTTCGGGGGGGGGGAGTTTGGAAAAGTCGTTCTCTCATATCTTTGAGGGCCCGATCCTCCGTTCTAAGAAGTCTTATGCGACCTTTGAGGGCGTGTCCCCTTTGGATGGATGCAACCCTTGGGAGATTGTATTCAGCATCTGCGCTGGTAAATCCATGAGCAAGATCAGCCCAATCCGGCGTAGTTCCGCTCAATTATGTTTGATCCAGCCTATGTCCGGGCTTCATTTGGCCAAGTTTGGTTGAGCGGCCTCGTAGTCGGATTTCGCAGCCCTCGATCCTTCTTACGGAGACCTTAAATCCTTAAATTTGAAGTCCTTCCGCCTCACCCTTTGGTGATTGCTAACGGAGCCCCTGGTCCAAGGTGCCCCCAGCTCTTCGCTCAGTTCTGGAGCCTCTGGGGCCCTCTGGGCCTCGTGATGGGGTGCTCTGGAGGCCGTGGGGGCCTCCTTGGAAAGCCCTCGTGGGCCAGGGGCGCTACCAGCAGTACCCGAACCCTGTCCGCATCTGCTCGTCGCCCATATTTATTGGCATCGCTCGGACGTGTGCATTTTTCTTTCGGCGAGGGCCATCGAGGAACATCCTTGACCATTCGGCGAAAAAAACACGCACGAAATCGAAAAAAAAAAATGACGTCCGAGCGATGGCGAGATTTGGTGCTCGCGCTTCGTACCTCGGGGAGGGCCCCCCGTCCCGCGCCCCCCCACGGCCCAGGAGCGGGACGTGTGGTGCGGGTTCGTGCCGCTGGCTTTCTTACATTATTGGCCCAACGTGGGAGGGGGGAGGAGGAGGAGGAGGAGGAGGAGGAGGAGGAGGAGGAGGAGGAGGAGGAGGAGGAGGAGGAGGAGGAGGAGGAGGAGGAGGAGGAGGAGGAGGAGGAGGAGGAGGAGGAGGAGGAGGAGGAGGAGGAGGAGGAGGAGGAGGAGGAGGAGGAGGAGGAGGCGGTCAGGGCGTCTTGTGCTGCCTCATCTGATCAGCGGCGAGCGGAGGGGGGGAAGCGAGAAGGAGGAGGCCTTCTCAGAAGGTTGCGGGGCTTCTCAGAAGCCCTCGAGCCGTTTGAGAATTTTCCTGCGTCTTCGCTGAAGGCTCATTTCCGAGCTCTCAGAGAAGTCCCGCTGCTTCTCGTTTGCCCCTTGTGCTTGCCGCCGATCTGAGGGATGCCGTTGGGAGCCGCATCCAGCAGTTTCGTGGCGAGGGGGGCAGGGGTGTCCTTCGCGGACGCACAATGAAGTCGCAGGGGACGTCGCAGAACTAACTTTCCATGTTACACGCCAGCTCCGCGGACTGCCGCATGGTTCCGTGTATGTGTGTCGAGGTCGACAGCATTGACAATGTGTTTCCCCATTGGGGCAAGGGGAAGGGAAGTGAGCTGGAAAGAGTCGGCACCACATCTTACAGGGTCTGCAGGAAGACGGAAGACAGCCAGTGTCGCAGGCCTACAGGTTGACACCAACACCAAGATCGGCGGTGTGCCTCCACTGAGGGAAGACGATCCCGATCTCGGTGATGGTGGTAATACTCTGGTTTCCAAGGTGACCGAAGTATTACAACCAACACCGAAATCTAGGATCATCGTCCCCATGTGGAGGCAACCCCCTGTGCTGGTGTTGGTGCCAATTTCCAGGTCTCCGACAGTGGGTCACGTCTCATACCAAGGTTAGCCACCCTGCGCCGTGCCACGCGCCGCACCCTGGGTGTGTATCCTTCTGTGGCGAGGTCGCCGAGCGCTAACCCCGACCGGCTGGGAGGTCGGCGCTCCCTGGGAGTCCTGGAGGCCCTCCAGCCCCGCCTCGTCCCCGTGGGCCCCGTCCTCTGGCGCACTCTGTGCGCGCAGTTTCAGGGGGCCCACCTCTCGGGGGGTGGCCTGTGCCCACCGTCCGCCGTCCTCGCCGCTGATCTCTCTCTCTCTCTCTCTTGCTCTTGCGTCCCATCCCTGCCTGCACACACACACACACACTCTCTCTCTCTTTCTCTCTTTCTATCTCTTTCCACTGCCAGGAGAGGCAGCAGCCGGTCGGACGTCTTCTGCCTGCGAGCGAGCGCGCGGAGGGAAGCATGAGGAGCAGGAAGACGGGGATGGGGGTGAGGCGGAGGTGGGGGAGGACCAAGGGGAGGGGGAGGAGGACGAGGCGAAGAGGAAGAAGAGAGGCGAGTAGAAGGGCGAGGAGGAAACCGTCGCGCGGTGTTGTGTACTTGACCACCCCAGCGGAGGGCGGCGGGGGGGGGCGATAGCGGGGCGCTGGGGGAGGTGATCCAGATGGTCATCTACACAGGACTCGGCGCAGCCACGCCTCACTCCTCCAGTCCTCACTCCTCGATCTTCGGGGATCCAGGGCGGAGGTTGCGGGGTGTCTCTGGTCAGTGCTCGGGCCTCGGGGGACCTGCTGGGGATACTCTCTTCCTCCTCCTAGCCCTTCTCCTCTCCCAGTCCTCGTTTTTCCTCTCCTCGTCCTCCTCCTCCTACTCCTACTCCATTCTTGCTCCTTGTAAACAACTTCTCCCTGTCGCCCCCCGGGGCCAGTTTTTGCGGCGGGCCGGGCGTTTCGCTTGAGACATCCTCACCACTTCTGACCCTGAAACTAAGTTTGGCAACAGTTTCACAGATGGAGGGCGGGTGGTTTTCAACATGTGGCTCTCGCCTTAGCGCCGCGCACATTCGTGTTAAAACTTGCCAGAGTCTCACGGATTCAGGGCGACCCGTTTTCCAAATGTGGTTTTCGCCTTAGCGCCGCGCACATTCGTTTTAAACATGTGCAAGAGTTTCACGGATTGACGGGAGTCTTCAAAATGTGGTTCTCGCCTTAGCGTTGCGCACATTCGTTAAGAAATACAAAAGTTTCACGGATTCAGGGCGGCACCTTTTCAAATTATTGTTATCGCCTCAGCGCCGCGCACATTCGTTTCAAACATTTGAAGAGTTTCACGGATTGAGGGCGGTTACTTTTCAAAATGTGGTTCTAGCGGGTTCCTATGATCAGGATACCAGAAATGGCATTTTGGACGGACTCAGCATTATGAGGGTGCAGCAGTTACGTTGATTTGCAGTGTTGAAGTCCCCGGACGGGCGTTCTGGCACGATTCAGGATCGTCAAGACACAACAGTCCGGTTGATCCGTGGCGTTGGAATCCCGAGAACAATGTTTTGGCATGCTTCCGTGTCTTCAAACGGTTGTCTTTCAACGAAGCAGTTCCCTCAGTGGAAATGAAGCCTTGTATTGGGGCCTAAGAAGAGAGAGCTTGGAGGGAGGGTTGATTCCAACATCGTTGGTGACTCTTGGGTTTACACTGGTTCTCCTCCTCCTCCTCCTCCGAGGGTGCGCACTGAGGCCGCGGGCCCACCCTCCCGCGGGCGCGTGCGGCGCGTGCCCGCCCAGGGTGCCGAGACCCCTGGCACGCTTGCGCATGCCAAAGCACGCGTGTTAAAAACTCCTCCTCCTCCTCCTCCTCCTCCTCCTCCTCCTGCTCATAGTCCTCCCCCTTCTCCTCGCTCCACCTCCGTTCCCCCAACAGTCCGCCTCTCCGCTCCTCAACTGCCACCCTCTCTTGCTCTCAGGCGGCTCGGGGGCGTTCGCGTGGGTGCCGTCTCCCCTAGCCCTCTCCTACCCCCCCAGCACGCCGTCCAGGCCAGCCCTCATCGCCGTTTGACAATGCGTATATCCTCCTCTCTCCCCTGTCAGTTCTCTTGGGCATCGTTTCCGGATGGGCTGGTGTGAGTACGCGAAACGTGAATTACGAAAATTATATCGGGAAGTTGTTCTTCCAAAATTGATCGTTCTACAGAACTCCCTCCAGGGAGAGGGGGTCCTGACAGGCCAGGAATGTGGGCAAGCTCTGTTCCAGAGCGTCCCACCCCCTGGCGCGGGGAATGGGCACGGGGTCGGGAATCAGGAGCCCACCCCTGCCGATAGATGGGGAGGACGGAGAGTTTCGGCCACGCGCAGAAGGGGGTGGGGGGGAGGGCTTTTTAGGAGCACCCCTGCTTCGTAGAAGGCGCGGGGGTAAGATTGGCGCCTTCTACGAAGCAGCCTCCTAAGAAGCCCTCCCCCCTCCCCCCACCCCCTTGTGCGCACCGCCAACAGTCGGGGGTGGACAAAACCTCCACCCTGACACGTTGATTAGTGAATTGCCAGTTTTTCGGTTCTCGAGAAGGCGCCGCGGCCGTCATGTTTCAGGCTTGCGCCGGCCATGTCTGGGCCCGCGGTCGTTTTCACGAAACCACGTTTTACTAAAGGGGGTGTTGTCCATGTAGATGGGGCCAGGGGATCGCGCCGCATCGCCGATGCATCGGCGATGCGGCTAGATCTGGAGCCAGATTTTCTCCACGCCACGTCGCAAGTGTATCGCCGACGTCGACGACGCATCGCTGGTGCATCGCCGAAGCGTCGCCGATACATCGCCGATGTATCGGCGATGCGGCGCGATCCTCCGACCCCACCTATTCCGACCCCATCTAGAAGGCCTGCATCAGAGGCAAAAGCCAGGGGGGGTCAGCAATTCGCGGCATTTTCTTCGGCACGCCTGTCTCTTCGTCCGCGGCAGAAGCAGTTCTTTAGATGGCGATGTTTCTTATGCTTCACGGACGAATGTACACCCGTGTTTTGGTCAGAGTAAGCGTGCCCGCATTTCTTGATCCCCTTTTTCGAGCGCGTCCGCCCAGCACGCGTGTGCTCAAAGGCCTCGGAGAAAAAAGAAGCAAATCCCACCCGCCGAGCAGCTCACAACCGCGCCGAAGGGGGGGGGGGGGGCAGCGCCCGCGAGACCTCAAGGAGAGTGTTTTTGTTACCCTCCCCTCCGCCCCCCCCCGACGCGCGATATGCCCCCTCCCCTCCGCCCCCCACCCCCCATGACGTGACGCTCCCTCCCCCGGCGCGTCCCCAGAATCGCCGCAGTGCGTGCTGCACCACAGTCTGAGGGGAGGCGTTCAGTCATGATCCCCCCCGTCCCCCACCCCTTCTTCAGGCGATTGCTAACATGGATCAGGGGGGCGTGGATTTGACACGGGTCCCGTCCCATGGGAAGTCACGGATTTCCGCCGCCGAGCGAGGCGGCATTGGCCGCATTTTGGGGGAGGGCACCTCCGCCGATCCATGTTTGCGCGCCCCCGACCCCCTCCCCCATGGCGACCACCATCGCCGCGAGCCTCAACTTGCGCTCGAGCTGCACCTGCGCTGGGGGCCTCGGCGCGCTTCGACGGGGGTCTGAGGAGCTGCACCTCGAGCGCAATCTCCCCCGCGCGTGCCAGCTTTGAGTTTGGGGGGAGGGGGAGTGTTCCGTAACTGTTTCCATCCCCCATAGCGACCACCATCGCCGCGAAACTAAAATTGGGCTCGAGCGGAACATGTGCGGGGGGCGGCCTCGGCGCGCTTCGGCGGGCAGCCCCAGCATTGCGAGAGGGGGCGCTTTCGATTCCTCCCCGCCTCCTCGTCCTCCTTTCGAAAGAGCCGCAAGCGGGCTTCTTGTACCCTCGTGGTCCTGCTCGGCTGGATCCTCTTCGCTGACACTCGGAAATGGGGACGTGGATAGCGTGTCGCGTCGAAGCCTCGTGGTCCAGAACCGTCGGAGCGACACGCACATCCTTCGGCCCTTTTGGCTGGCCGAGGGGGCCTGGCCTTCCGCGTGCGCCAGAGGAGAGCGAGGCACCGATACCGCTACTCGTAAGTCGGGCGTGTCCTTCTACAGAAAAGGAATCTTCAAACCTAGCTATGACACATAGTCCAGGGACGATCGTTCCATTGTTATGCTTGCGTGATGTTTGAATTGTGTTCTACAGTGTTTCAGTGTTCCTCCAAAACCTGCTTGTAGGGGGACATGTCTGACCTAACGATGCTGCTACCCTTGCCTCGCTCTCGCCATTCGAGCACTCCTGGGAGGCCCTCGTCGCCACGGCTGGGTTCGCCTCGAAACCCTGCTCAGAACGCGCTTGGGGAAAGGTCCAGGGAGTACAGCCAGGCGATCGCAGACATGGATAAAGGGGGCGTGGATTAGCGACGGGTCCCGTTTCCATGGGAAATCGCGGATTCCCGCCGCCGAGCGAGGCGGCACCAGCCGCATTTTGGGGAGGACACCTCCCCCGATCCATGGATTCCTCTCGCTTCGCGGGGTGCACGTCCGGAGCACGTACAGTCACGTCGTCGCGGGGCCTCTTGGGACCCTCTTGGGGGCCTCCAGGAGGCCTCCTGGGAGCTTCTTTGGGGCCTTTCCCCCTTCCTTTTCATACACCCTCCCCATCTTCCCTTCCAGCGCCGGCTCTAATCATGGGCGCCGCAGTGACCAACGTCCACCTGGCTGGCGCTGCGCCCGAGTTCGCCGAGAGGGGGGAAAATGACACACTCCAGTCGCTGTGTGGCCTTTGGGGGGCTTTTGGGGGGCCTTTTGGAAGCTTCTGGGGGGCTGCTTGGAGGCTTCTTGGGGCCTCTTGGGGCCTCTTCGGGGCGTCTTCGGCTGTCTTGGCGCTTTTGCACCGTTTCGCCCCCTCGGAGGCTGTCCTGGGGGCCTCTCGCGGCCGCATTGGAGCCCTCTTGGGGTCCTCTAGGGCCGTCTTCGCGGCCTCCTGGAACGTATTGGGGGCCTCTTTGGGCCGTTTTGGGGCCCTCCTGGGCCGTCTTGGAGCCCTCTTGGGGGCTTTTTGGTTCGTTATGGGGCGATTATGGAAGCTGCTTGGGCCGTCATGGATTTGTGAAAGTCGAAAAAGACGAGAACGCTAAAATAGTGCCCAAACCATAGGACAATCAATGATTTCGGCCTCTGGAGGCGCAGTTGTGGGCGCTCTTGGGGCCCTCTTGGGCCGTCATTTGGGTTTTGTGGGCCCTCTAGGAACCATCTCGGACCTTGTCGGGGCCGTTTTGGCCCGCACAGAGCCCATCTTGAACCGTCTTGGCGCCCTCTCGGCCCCCCAAGAGGCCCAAGAGGTCGAAATCATAGATTTTCTACCCCGGGAGGGGGGGGGGGGGGGGCACTTTGGCCCGGCGGTGTGGCGCAGCTCCCAGGGGGGGGTTTAGGGGTGGACACCTCCCCCGATCCATGGATTTGGCGACCGCGCGCCAAATCCATGGATCGCTAATCCATGCTTGCGCGGCCCAGGGTCAACCCGCAGGCTACTCTTGCAGCCTTGCCCCATTCGGCCCATCCTTGGCAACTCTCGCTGGTCAACCTCGTTCGAAAAAACGTTCACATAGCCCTCCAAGGCCCTAGCCTTAAGTCGGGGCCGTCCTTCTACACGAGGAATATTCAAAAATATGCAAAAATAGTCAGGGGGCAATTTTTTACTATGTTC